TCACAACTAAATGTCCAGGTGGAGACCAGTGACGAGTGGCATCCTCGGGTGTTGGTATTGGGACTGACACTTCTTAACCTCTTTGTCAGTGACATGGACTGAGAGATTTGAGTGCACTCTCAACTAGGTTTCAGCCTAAAATCTGTGAAAAATATGATGCAAAGTGACTGTGAGAATGAGAGGAGAAAGCTATGCTCAATGGCTCTTCTTGACCTGCTTGACATTTTTCTATTATTTTAGCACTGATCTCTCAGAATCAATAAATATAGCCAATCGTAGCTAGATTATTTAAGACTTCTCTTTATCAACACAACTCATAGGGTAGTTAATTACAGTAATTACAGTAGTGCTGTAATTACAGCACAACTTGGGTGTTAAATTCTACCTGAAGTAAGAGATACTGGAAAAAAAAGCCCAAAGGAATCCATGACAACCTTGCCTGAATAACAGCCTGTTTATATTGTAATGTCTCTTCTCTGTGATCGATTCAAATGATCCATCCCTATCTCTGCAGTCAGAAAATTCAGCATCGTTGAGTGAGTATGTGCATGTGTTATTTGTATAGCCATGAAGTTAATACTGGTTTCTAATAATTAGCAGAAAGGAATGGGTTTTTTATTTTAAGATACAGTGTTCAGAGCAGCAGTACTGCTCTCATCAGAGAAATGAGCTGGTGATATAATTGCTCAGCAGTGCACTTCATTCACTTGTTTAAAGGCCAGTTTTTCCCATTTCAGCTCATTATCTCACTTTTTCATTGCCATCTTTATTTATAAATGCTGTAAAACATAAAATAACTTTTCATCCCTACGATAAAAGGCTGATGAAAGTTCCAGTGTAATGCAGATCTCATCCTCAGCATAGGGCAAAAACGGGCACTTTGCAGCTGTAGCGTTTTGCTTCAGTACTGAGATGTCCTCTTTCTTTACAGCATAAGGGGGGACTTAATTAAAATCTTGTCTGCAGATGAGATTTCTCACATCACTTAGCTGTCCTCTTGGCCTTCCCTTAAAAAATATCTTTTTATTGTGTTGTGTTTTTTCACTAGTGCTGGTGGTGTAGCCACTGGGATCCACTGGGATTCACGTGACTAAACACCTTTGGGGGTTTGTTTTGGGAGTGTGTGTGGTGTTCTTTTTTGCTTTTGTGTTTTGTTTTTTGGGGGGGATTTTTTGCACTGCACTAATCCTTTGCACTTTGAAGGTAGGAAAAATACTGAGAGGGGAATAGCACCAGCCAGAGGTCTATACCACATAAACTGCTCATCCAAGAACATTCACTGGAGTTTTCACCTGCAGTTCTTGCACCACTGAGCTTGCACAAATCAAATGCTGGGGTTTAGGTAACTGCTGCATGATCTGGAAAAAACACAGCATCAGGATCCAGTCATTGGTCTGTAACGAAAACTTTGATGACAAAGTTCAGCCTTGTAGAACAAGGTGATAGAGAAGAAGTCCAGATCTTTCGGAGCAGTGTGAAGTTTGTAGCAAAATTTTTGCTCTAAGAAATGTTAGTGAGTCATAGAATGGGTTGGGTTGGAAGGAACCTCTAAAGGCTTGTCACAGCCTTCTCTCTCTCCCTCCCTTCAAGTCTGTTTTAAAGCTTGTCAGCCCTGATAGCTCATGAGCAAAGACCTTTTTTCCTCTATGAGAAAGGTGAATCCCATCTGACACCAGCAGGCCTGGTGCTGTTACCAAAAAAAAAAAAAAAAAAAAAATTGTCGCAGTGACACCAGCCATGGAGACAGATATTAATAGATTGTGTCTGTTTCTGGAAGGATGGGGCTAAAAATGACCTGTGCTCCACATTCCCTGACCAACCATTCCAAGGTGCTGAAGTCTCCTGATCACCCTTGGATTACACATCGTGACTTCATCGCCCCCCACATGGAAGAACAGTAATGAGTAAAGGTCCAAGGGCCATACCAAGCTGGGAAGTTTCCTAGTGATATCCCTAACTTGGGCCCCAGGGAGGCAAAAGCCTTCCCTAAGAGAAGGGTCTGTCCAGCATTTTGGACCTTCTATTCCCCTCAGAAGTGAGTCACACAGAGCTATAGATAGGAATG